TTCAAAATATTCCACAATAAATCCTCATTTACATTGTAGTTCAATTTCTATCTCATATCATACACTGTACAATGTATTTCTATACTGTATAGTTACATGTACATGTAATTCTTTTTCTTTGTAGCATTTCAAGTTATTATTTCATTAATATTTACTACATGAAGGAGAGGTCTCCTGGCATCAGTACAGCTCAGCTATTTGTCAAATAATGGTGGGTGTAGTCTTCATTAATTAATAACAATTAATTAATTAATTATTAATAGCCTCATTCCTGGACTGATGATTTTGATACAAAGTTAGAGTTAGCACAATTTAATAAAGATAAGAAGAAATCAGATGAACCAGGAGTCACTGATCATAAGGTCAGATAATAATAATAATAATAATAATAGTAATAATAATAATAGTAATAATAATAATAATAATAATCAATGATGGAACCTGTTTATAAGTACACTACATGTACATGAATAGATGTATGATTTAGGAATAATTTTGAACATTAAATTTGTATATGCCATTACTTGAAAAATTGAAGTCGGAATCAGCTCAAACTTTCTACACAGCATAAGGACATCAATATGTATCAGAAAATGTAATAAAAATTTAGGGTGATTTCTGAGCCATTTTTTGGAAAAAACCATGGGCTATAGCCTTGGGTATTTTTCAAAAATTGGCTGTTTTTAAAAATGGCCATAACTCGAAAAATTGAAGTCGGAATCAGCTCAAACTTTCTACACAGCATAAGTACATCAATATGTATCAGAAAGTGTAATAAAAAATATGGGGTGATTTCAGGGCCATTTTTTGGAAAAAACATGGGCTTTTCAAAAAATTGGCCATTTTCAGGAAAGGGCCAAAACTTGAAAAATTGAAGTCAGAATCAATCTTTTATAGCCAAATTGTTTAAGTATCCATTATATAGAGGCTAGTCTGTATTGTAGATATTAATATTCATGTATTAAGTTTTTCTTCATTTTCCTCACAGAACAAGTGCTATCCTCATTGGCCTCAGGGTCAGGATGAGCCTGAGGTGATGTTCGGCAGGTACAGGATTGAACTGATCTCCATTGAAGACTACTCATTCTTTTGGTTGTCACACCTTCAGCTGGAGAATGTTGAAGTGAGAGGGAGGGAGGCCCTGGGAGGGAGAGAGAACGAGGGAGAGGGAGGGAGAGAGAGGAGAGGAAGACAGGGGAGAAAGAGAGGGAGGGAAGAGGAGAGAGGGGGAAGGAGGGAGGGGGGTAAAAAACAACGTTGAAAATGATTGTAATTTTTGTTTTAATTTCATTGTTTGTGATATGTTGTATTGTTAGCATAATAACTCTTACATCTGAGGATTACAAGCAATTAAATGCACATCTATTTGATATTAATCTTCTATTCTTCACTTCATTAAT